TAATTGATAATGTCTCGTTCAGTAAAGTAAATAACAAATATATCCATGTATGAGTAATATGTGGATTTTCCATTTTTTGCGTTCTTTCTATTTTTTTTTAAATTTTATTTCGATTTGATATTACGTCTTTGTGTAATTGACACCATGATGTCGCTAGTGACTTGTTTCATCAATGTAGGTATCTTCACATGCTGTACAATAAATGTTTTTGTGCTGAGTTTTCGTGTTATCCGAAATGGTCCTTCATATCTCGCGTCGAATTTGTTGCGCATATTTAATATTTTAATTAATACAAGTTCACCGATTGTGTAATTTGGATTGGAACGATGTTGATCATAACGTTGTTTGTATTTCTCTTGCTGTTCCAATATTTTAATCTTTGCTTGTTCGGTTAATGTTGATAAATATTGATTTAATTTTAATTGATGTTCTGGGTCTTGTGAAAGTGTAATTAATGGTTGTTGTTGATCGAAAGGTAATATTAGTGATCGACCAAGCATTAATTCAAATGGAATTTGTCCGGTTGTTGTGTGGATACTTGTATTGTAATTGAATGTAACAAATGGTAACTGTTCATCCCAATTTATACGTTTTTCATTTGATAATGCTGCTATTTTGGCGTCCATTGTTGCATTAAATCTTTCAATTTGTCCGTTAGTCATCGGATGGTAAGGTGTTGAATATAAATGTGTAACACGAATTTTTTTTTAATAATTCGGTCATCATTGTAGCGGTAAAATGCGTACCGTTATCTGTAAGAATACATTTTAGAGTGCCATATTTAAGGATAACTTCTTCGGTAACAAAACGGGCTGCAGTTGATGCAGTGCAATCCCGTACCGCTTTAGTAATGACAAATTTTGATAAGACATCGGTTAATGCAATAATATATTTATTTCCATCTTTTGTCGTTGGTGTAATAGGTCCGTGGAAATCCATAGTAAGTAATTGCCATACTCCTTCAGGAGGTTTTTGTCGTAGATGATTATTTTGTAAACAAGGTAGACATGACTTAACATAATTCCGTATATCATCAATCATATTAGGCCAAAAAGATCTTTGTCGAACCTTCTGAGTGGTTTTATTTCGACTAAAATGTGCTCCATTCGCTGGTGTATCATGATAAATTTTAATAATGTCGGAGCGAATTCGTCCTTTGGGTACAAATGGTATCCGTGGGGACGATTTTTTCATTAACATATTATCTTCTAAAAAATAATCATTGAAATCTTTAACATGTGATATCATGTGTTTTGCTTGTTCATCTTGATGTTGTAACTGTTTTAATTGTTCCCATGTAAATGGTACAATCACATTATGATCATTGCTAACATCCATTATATGTGATTGTGGTAGTTCTACAACACAGGAATGATCGACCTGTCTGTCGTCACTCCTCTTCTGTTGTCTTGTTTGTGCCCTTGTAGTGACGGATGCAACGACATGTGTTGTTGTGAAATTGTCGGTTTGTGTTGATCGGGATGTTGTCGGTGTATAATCATCTTCATCATTCATTCCATTATCGACTGGTGATCGGGATAAATAATCAGCCACTATATTGTGTTTTCCTTTAATTTACCGAACAGTAAAGTGATATTGTTGTAGTTTTAAACGCCATCGTTCACGTTTTGAATTTAATTGTTGTTTTAAGTTGAATGGCAATAATGGTTTATGATCTGTTTCAATAATGAATGAACGTCCATCTAAGTACTTGTGCCATTTTTCAATTGCGTATATAATAGCGTAACATTCTCGTTCTGTTGCAGGCCAGTTCATTTGTGTTTGTGTAAACTTCTTTGACAAGTAAGCGACTGGTAGATCACCGTGTGAATGAGTTTGCGTAAGTACAGCTCCAATTCCAATGTTTCATGCATCAGTTTGTATCTTGAATGGTAAATCTTGATCTGGAATACGTAATATCAAATCATTGGTTAATATTTTCTTTAATTTATTAAATGCATCAAGTGCATCATCGGATAGAGTAATAGATGTCGCTTGCGATTTTTTTCTCGTTGTTCTTTAGTTCTCGGTGCATATTGATGTAAAGGTTGTGCAATGGTAGAAAAGCTGTTAGCGCAATCCCTTCGGGATTAAAATGTGAAACACGACTTAACTGTTGATTTTTTTTAATAAAAGAGTATTGTTCTGTCTATTTCTGGACTTTTCTATCATTATACCGTAATGCATCAGGTGCAAGTGGAAAACGTAAGCAGGTCATCGATTTTATCGATATAGTGTCGTTATGTGGTTCTTACTTGTACAGTGATAGGGTCTATCACAACGTATGCTGAGATCCAGAGATGTTCATCGAGGTTTATTATAATCATGGCTTTGCCTCTCTATTCTCGTTGTATTTCTAATAGCGTTTCTGAT